ATATATTAATAACTATTTGAAAATATAAAATTTAAAATATAAATGAAAAAATACTTTTGCTCTTTATATGTATCTGCTAATGTACGAAAGTCATCACTTATTTTTTGGACAAAATTTAGCTTTTCCTCAATTTGTTTTATAGATTGTTTCTTTTCTTGAATAGCTTCTTGCATTGTACTACGTTCTTCTTCTTTTAACTTATGTTGCTTTTCGATTTCATCTAAACGGGATTGATACACTTTTGGTGAATGTACAACTTCTGATTGTACTTCAGTTATCATCTTGGACAGCTAAAAATTACATTATAAAATTTATTAATCTTATAATACGGAAATAAAAGTGTTACGATTACTTTAAAAATTCAAGATTTAAATAAAAATATTTACCTTTCCCGCTGCCGTCTTAACAGAACCACAAAGTTCCTTAGCTTTCTGATTTTCTTTATCAACATCGCTTTTCATTATTTCAAATTCCATCTCCTTTTTATTGAGTTTCTCTGTTATTGACTGCATATGTTTTATGTCATCTTCTAACTAAAAATATGTACAATATTTTTATTGCAGAGTTGAGAAATCAATTAAAATCTAATATATACTTCATAACTATATATATTTTTTAACCTTTTCTTTCATAGACAATTGATTTGCTTTATGTATAACTTTAGCATTAATAGATTCTGAAACATAAGTCTTTCTTTCTTTCAGATCTTCTAATAGTTTAGATATAGTCTGAATTTGATCCATTCTGTCATTATATTCTGACTTCTTATGCATTGCATACAATACAAAGTTAGATAAAAATTTTGCTTGCTTTCTTAGTCGCTTTTGTCCTACAAAATTCATTTGTAACATGAGCAATATCAGGGATTGGTAATGAGTAATAGCATTACCTTTATTATTACTTTTTATAATAATAATTTGATAATGACATTGCAATTTTTTATGATGGTACTTATATGAACAAACTAAAAGCTAAGGTTAGGAAGAAGTTATTTTTGAAAAGTATATAATTATCATTATTACAGATTGTTTATTGAAAAAAGTAACCCATTACTTGTAACAAATTAAAGTAGCAAATCAATGCATTGCAAATAATTACTTTTTTAAAATAAATAACACATAATAAAGACAAGTTGTGTAGTTAGCTATTGTTACTGCCATAAACAAACTATAGTGTTATTGCCAAATCATTATTATAGAAAGTAATAATAACAAAAATAGTTCCCATCTCTGGCCATAATATATTATTAATATACTACGGTCTTTGTTCTTATAAAAGATTCTAAATTAAGATATTTGTACCTGGACTAGTAATATCGGTAAGACAAAAATCATGTAAAAATATCTTATCGAATATCTGCGTCACAACTATATATAAATTTATAAGATTTATAACATCAGAATCTTCAAAACATGTCATAGCTCCGAGCTGTTCTGGAATTGGCTGCAAATTTTTGTTGTAAGATATGATAATAAGAAAGCTACATAAAAACAAATATTAATATCTTGTTACTTCAATTTCATTTATATTACATAGTGACAAGTAATACATATATAAGAAATTTGAAATCTTACCTGATCAATCAAGCTCATATTAATGCCGAAACGTGTTAAGAATGTTGTTAACAAGTTCACGACATAATCCGCCTTTGGATTTTTAAGATCTTCAATAGTCGATGGTAATGCAGCATCCAATAAAGTAGAGTGAATTATTTCGACATCCGAAGATTTATTCGCGTTGCTCACACTTTTTACACTCGACATCTTCGCTTCCTCTTTTTTCAAAACCAAATATATATCTATCTCATTTTAAGTGCAAAAATATTTGGGGATTTCATGCAATGCAAACAGAACTCATGAGCAATCAGCTGCTTGTAAATCGATTGATTTTAAGAAAAAAAGATTACGAGATAAAAAATACAGATATAATAGAGATAATAAAAGTAACGTGAAATAGTATCTATATTTTCTTTATCAATTTAAATAGATTTGCGCAATTTACTTAAAAAGAAATTGCCTTCAGTTTCAAACTTCTAAATATTTTCAAAAAATAAATAGTTTAGCTATCCCACCTCATGTTAGCATGATTCACTTACGTTATCTTTTTCTTCTTTCAGTCTCCTTTTTTACGTTTTCTGCGATTGTCTGCGATTCGAAAAAAACACAAAATCTTCTCGCCTCCTCAGTATTATCAAAATATGACGATTGCAAAATGCGATATCTCACGTAGTCTCACAGATCTTACTTAAATTCATAATGTCACATAACGTTCTAAATTATTTGAATCCGCGTCATCTAGAGTGCGGTAGAGTCATTCTAGTAATAAAGCTCTATATTGATAGTGGGTGCTTTCCAATTGTAATAACCCTAGAAACTTTCGCGACACGGCGACACAAAGGTTAAGGTATGTGTTCATAATGTCGCTCGTCGCTCATATTCAGACTATGTTCCAAAACTTCCTCTCCGAGGAAGATTTTACTCTACATGCTATAGTATATACGTTACGTGTACTATATATTTCGAGTAGAGTCCCTGTAGGATTATGTCCATTCCCACCCGAGTGCTAACCAGATATCATTCCATTTTTGTTATTTATCAAATGTTAAACAAGAATGACGTAACACCCGGAGAACACCCAAGTGAGAATCTGAACACGCCTTAGTAAGAGTCAAGTCATAAGGGGCACCGATGATTCCTGATTGGTCAGATTTCGAGTTCCTTTAAACGCCGCCATTTGCAGATACTTTCGATGGGTAATGAATCTGTGAATTGATGTGAGCAACTGTTTCATGTAGAAGGCGCGAACGCGAAATCGGATTATCAACTGTCAAATTGTGCTGTTTTCGATCAGTACCCGACACCCAGCAATGGTGTTCTTCCGCTCTTATGTCTTAACTCTTAGGGCCGGTTGTTTCATCTTTTGATAAATTTTATCTGTTGAGTAAGTAACAAGATTACCCAATCACATACACGAATTACCGATTTACCTAAAATTTACCAAAGGAGGGAACAACCATCTTCTGTCTCTCTGTCTTGCTCACAGCTCGACGTCCGTATTCCCCCTCTAGTAGTATAAGCTCTATGGTGTATATACTTGCACGAAGAAGAAGAAAAAGAAGGAATATTAGGTAATCATACAATTTAACACTTCAAAAATCAATGAAGTTAGACTTATTTGACGCGTTTTTGGATGAAATGAAAGATTCTGGCAGAAAAAGTCTCTGTCCCACGAATTAAGATATTAAGCGTTAAAGTTGACAACTATTGAGGTTAGGAAATCTGTCACAGGACAAAATGAGGTAATTCTTTAGAAAAGCTACCTCCGATTTCGTTGAAATTAGGCTCATTCGACGCATTTTTAAAATGAAAGAATCTGGCAGAACGAAACCTGGAACTGATCTGCGAGGCGAAATATTGAGCGTTAAAGTTGACTAAAGTGTTACTATGTAACACGATCATTAATCTGTTATGTAGACAGTGGAGTATATAAGTCTAGTGCCTATTGGTTCAGGGTGACATAGCCCCGAATAAAAAAAATAACGTATTCTATCTGCTTGAGACCTAACTACCTAGAAGTTGCAGCCTAGACAGTAAAAAGACTGCTCTAAAAGGACTATTCTTATGCCCACTGTCCTCATGTGTTAGAAATATTCCAAGCGGATACTGTCTACGCTACAACTTCTAGGCGGTTAGGCCCCAAGCGGATAGGATGTTTTTTTTTTGTTTGGAGCAGCATAGTCGCAGAGTAATACTTTTTTTTCTGCCAGATTTTTTCATTTCATGCGTATCAAATAAGTCTAATTTTATTGATTTTTGAGATGGTTGGCTAAACTGTATAATTACTGAATATTATCTAATTTTCTTCTCTCTAGATTCAGTACATACAGCTCATTTGATATTCACACAACGTGATCGACACTGATACTTAAATTCCTCGTGGCAATCATTTCACAGCAGAACATAAGCGTACTTACTGAACAATGGCAGCGTTATTCCGTATGAATTGCATGCAGAGTTTGCGTCGGGGCTTAACTCTAATGTCGCCCAAAGAAACAACGATATATCGTAGGATAGCAACGACACCGAACCGTTACGATGGAATCAAGGAAGAAACGAAGCCTGTCAAGAGGAAGTGGGTGAGTTATGGCTTCAGTGACAAGAGCGAAATAGAAGATCATCATGCTCTGCACCAGACTATGTTTGTCTGTGTAACTATAGTCTTTGTGATTGGATGCACTGTCATGGCCTATTTACCTGATATCAGAGGCAAGGATTGGGCACAACGAGAAGCTTACCTGCAAATCCGTTATAGAGAGGAACATGGACTCCCTCTCGTTAGTCCCAATTATATTGATCCGTCGAAGATAATACTGCCAACTGACGAAGAGCTAGGTGATACAGAGATTATCATTTAAAAAGTATGTCTGGATAACACTGAGAATAATTAAACTTTGAGTGTTGTTATTGCCTATCTATAGCCATCTAGTACTTGTTATATTAATTTAAGGTAGCACGTAATAAACATGCTTTTGTGCAGATTGAAATTCTTTATCAATTTGGAAAAAGACAACTCACAGTTTTGCAGTCCTCAAAAGAGAAAATGGTCTGGATACAGAAGTGTTTATATTCATTAACACATATACTAATTATTGTAATTAAAATTATAGATAATACACAGAAAGTTAATATGACAATTTTTTATGATGCAATGTATAATTAGGATTTTGCAATTATTTTATTTATATACAATATTACATTATTATTCTCTTTAGTACATATTAAAAATGTATTATGCGCATCACATTCTCAATATTTATGAAAAGAAATAAAACTTAGGAAGGCATTTATAATCTTTCTTTGATGAACAATAAGTTTATATCATATATACATGTATACATGTATATACATTCAAATGTATATTTAATATATATTGTATATATGCATATATATAAATAAAAAATGTTTACCAAAAAATAATTATAAATATCATTCTTAGTCTTACTGGCTCATTTTCTCTTGTCTCTGATAGTTTAGAACAGAGAAAAGATTCAATTTTATTTAATTGGTATGCTTAATATTATACTTTATTAAAGTGAAAATTATATCTTTCATTTATTTTTAAAAGTTCCTTACTGTGTGGACGTTGGCATTGTCGGAGCAACGGTAGTAGTGTTGATACTGGGTGGTAATTGATTTTGCTGTTGAAGAACAGATGGATAGAAGGAAGTGTCTTGCGGGAGAGAGGCGGTGACTGTGATAGGTGGCATTCCTGGCAGTGATATAGGTGTCGTTACAACGTGAGCTATATTAAAGCCAGCAGTTGTGTTTATATTAGGAATAGGATTTTGTTCTCTGGACAATACTGGGACATTGATTGTGGTTGTATTATGAACAGAATTCTGCTCTCTCTGTTGCTCTGGGGCATTAATCGGTCCAGACGGTGCGGTTGAAACTTCATAAGAATGGATAACGTTTGATGGTAATCCCGTAACAGTTGGCATACCAGGAATGTTCGGAGTTATTGGACAAGTGCCTAAACAATTAAGTAGGTGAATTAGCAACGATTTAAATAATTAAATGTTATATACGAAGTTATATAAGCGCTATAAAATACTATAAAATCTGTCATTATTTTCTGTTGAAAATTCCACAAAGATTTTGATGTTTAACAAAATTTGCAGTAGAAACATAAGAAACATTCAGCAATTTATTACAAATTAACGTATTGAAAAAGATCATCTTCAACAGTTCTTTCTTAATTTTCAAAAATTAAAAATTTTTTAATTTTTAATTAAACAATACAAATATGTAAATGTGTGTATGTGTGTGTGCGTATGTATAACAAACTAAGAAATTACATAAAATCTGTGCTTACTGGATGTAAAACTGGTGGTAGGCTGATTCGAAAACATATGAGGTCCTGACCTGACAGATGTATAGCCACCAACAGTACCAGTAAAATTGACTTGATTTGCTGGTTGCATTTGCATTTTTGATCCAGGTGCAGGTATACTTTGAGCAGATATAGTTTCCTGTTCGGTTTTTAAATTTTGTATCGAGCTATCCATTGGAACAGTATAATTCGGCGTAATTAATCCAGGTGGTGTACTGACAATCGGATTGATTTCTGCCACAGTAACGGTAGTAGTCATTGCTGGTTGAGTTTGCATTACAGTATTCTGAAAAGGAAATATTCATAGAAATATTCTAAAATGAAAATATTTATTATTCGTTTTATGTGCGTGTGTGTGTGCGTGCACGCGTGCAGTAGATATGAGTGTAATAATATAGTGTAGCAGTTTCTGAATTTATGAAGCTGCTATCTATTATAATCCTGTTAATCATGCATACATTTTTTTAGACTATTCAAATATTGATACAAAAACATTATGTAATGCAACTTTTTACCACATATGAATTAGCAGATTTCTGCTCTGGTACGCTTCTGATTGGTATTCTGTGTAAATATCCATATCCGATTCCACATCCCAAACTATTAAATAAATCCAGAAGAATTTAATATCTATACTTATAATCTAAAATAATATCTCAATTATTGGATGTACTGTACGAGAAAATATGTACCTTCCTTCTCCGCCCCAAGTATTATTAGGTGTGATAGTCACTTCTCTACAGGAATCATTTTTAGTATTATATACATACAATTTGAGAGGTCGTGATTCATGCGCCTCTATTAAAGTAAATAAATCCTCACTTTCATGGAGAATAGAGTCTGCTCCGATAATATAATCAGTGAACGGCCGTAGACCGGCTAGTTCAGCAGGAGATGATGGATGTACTTCCTGCAAATATTAATATATTTTCACTATAATTTGCTATACAGAATTAATTTGAGATTTATATATGAACTTTACACTCACAAGTACATGCCAAACATTTTCGTTAGCACCTTCAAATGAACAGAAACGTATACTGACACCTAATAAACCCTGTCCACCCCATGTCATACTCGGCACAATATTTGTCCGCCTTACAGATTGTGTTTTACTACTATACACTGTGATTGTTAATTCCTTATTTACACCAACCTTTAGAAGTTCCTTCAAGGTATCATTATCTTGATCCTAAAAAGAATATATATGTAGCTTTTTTAAATAGGGATGTAACATAATTATTGTAATTGTATAAAATATATATCTTTATTGACTTTATTACAACAAAAACTACAAGCAAACATACCAGACGAGTATTGCCAATTGCCACTATAAAATCAAAGAATGCTTCTAGTCCTGCTTGCTGTCCAGGAGAACCTTCCTGAACCTGTCAAGAAAGATACAGAATATTTGTCAATATTATAATTTTTTTTGTATATTGAAGTAGATATATTTTTAATATTTAGAATAAAGATTTATTTTCTTACTATAGCTTTTACATTAGCAATTAATAAATTACATACTAATCAAGAGAGAGATCAATTATAATAAACTTATAATTAGAATATAATATAAGCCATAAGACTATAAAAGTGATATTTATATTATTTATTTTTAGATTTCTTATTAATTTTTTTTATAACAAGGACAAATAAAATACAATTTAACATTAAATTATTCAATTCTAAAAAAATGGGCTTTATTCTGATAAACTAATAGTTTTAGATTTTTTAAAAATACTTAAATAAAAACATGGTAAATGTTACATCTTATATTTTCATTTTGCTTTTAAATGCTCGCGGAATCACTGAAAAATGATTTAAATAAATCTAGAATATCTTTTGCAAGATAAAATAATGAAGTCAAACGATGACAAATCACGAATGACATTCCTCACAATCAATATGTTAAATTTTGTGAATTGGGTCAGAGAGAATAACTTAAATTTTTTATAAAAACGTAAGTGTTGTTCAGATATATCTTCCAAAAAATTTTATTGTTCTCCGCAGTATTTGTAGGAAAACAATTTTATAAAAGTGAACAATACTTTGGGTGGTTACTCTTGACAGGTCACCTTACCCTCAATACATGGTAACCTTCTGTACCGCCTCCCGGTATCTCCACGCTGTGAGAGGACCCCATATCTGTCGAGAGAGCTTCTTAGGTTACTCGAGACAAACAAGTAAAAGACATTAAAACAATTGTCGAAAGTGTGACTTTACGAGAGACTCAAATAGCAAAAATACGTGGCACGACTGTCGAAACACAAATCAAATGACGAAGTCACGACGGCCATGCAGCCTGCAGAAATGCGTTCCAAAACGTAACTACAATCATGGTGGAAATAACAAGGTATGCTATTGCGCAGGTATTTTTGCTGACCAATGAGAAAACGTGGCTGAACTTAGCCATCTTGAGCTTTTCAAATGCATATAAAGTACTAGGGTTTCGATTGTGTATTTTAAAATGAGGTGAAAATTACAAAAGTGAGCAATGATAACTAGATATTGACCAATTAAATTATGAATATTCTAGTGAATTTGTTTACTCTTTTGTAATTTTCACCTTATTTCGTAGTATGGTGGAAAGGATAACATAGCCTGCGGTTTTCAATGCTTTCAGTACTTCTATTCTTATTTTACTTATTCTAATTATTATTATTATTATTATTAGGCGTTAGGAACTCGAAAGCTCATTGCCGCAAATACCAAATCCCGCTACTGTTCCCGTCCCTGAGCTAGATCCCTCCATTTGTGACCCTCGTACCCCATTTCGTTAAGGTCCATTCTAATATTTACTTATTCTAATAAATGATAAAAACAGAATGGTGATTACAAACACTTAAAGCACGTGAGCATCCAAATCAACTGCAGCCATGGTGTACTCAAGGCACCTATCATGAAATAAGAAGGTCGATCCTATATCTTCAACAAGGTAAAAATTACAAAAGTGAGCAAATTTACTAGGTATTGACCAATGAAATTATTAGTATTCTAGTAAATTAGCTTATTTTTGTAATTTTCATTTTGTTTCAAGATACAGAATCGATTCCCTGGAATGAATTCCTATCAGAATTATTTAATTACTCCCTAGATTTTCATTGTATTCTCTAGGAAAAACGGAATAATTCCGATCGGAATTCATTCTGACTTTTTCCATGATAGGTACCCAGTTTGCAAGTGTCTCTCTCATCTAAATTTCTGCCATCTCTGTCTATGAATGTCGCATAAAAGAGTGTTTATATTGACCGTTAAGACGAGAAGCACAAACTCATGCATAATGCATAATGCATAGTGCATAAGAGAATCATTCAAATTCTTCTTTTCCTTAAATGAAAAGAAAGCTTTTGATTGGTTGATTCACTTATGCACTATGTGTTATGCGTTACGCAAAAGTTTGTGTCACGGCTCTAAAGCCCATGGTACATATGAGAACGTAAGACCATAACACGTAAGTAGTAAAAATTGGCCAATCACAATAGAGACGGTAATCAGTAACGAATCCAATGTTACGATTTTCTTACTAATTATGTTTTACGACCTTACGTTTTTTAATATATGTTCCCGGCTTAAGCTGGAAGCACAAAAGCATTGAAGAATGAAATTGAAAATTAAACGATTGAAGTTTGACCAATCAGAACAAATAAAGCCAAAACTTTTTTATCTTCTGGTGAAATTTTAATCCTTAATCTTTAATCTCAATCCTCAATGCATAGTCTGATTCCGGCCTTACATAACGCATAAAACATGAGACATAAATTAATCAGAATCCTTCATTTCATAAAAGGAAAAGAAATAAAGGACTTTGATTGGTTCATTTTCTTATATATTATGCATTATGCAAGAGTCTGTGCTTCCCGTCTAACCGTATGCCGTATGCTGTAATCTGTAAGAATTGACTAATCACAGCCAAGTATTCTCCTCTCATTCGGTGATAAAAAGGGAATACTTGAAGGTGATTGGTCAATTTTTACAGATTACGGCATAAGGTGGTTACAGCCAATATAAACATTCCCTTATGCGACATTTATAGACAGAGACGGCGAAAATTTAGAGAGAAACGCTTAAACATTATTTAAAACAGTTTTAAAATTAAAACAAACTATGAATACCGCCCCATGTTTCACAGTTGGCAGCCTTTTCCCCTTATGCAACATTCAGAGACAGAGACGGCAGAGATTTAGAGAGAGATGCTTGCAAACTGAGCACACTATGTTATCCCTTTTATCATGATATATACAAAAAGTATTTGTATAGAGAAAATATTTTTTAAAAAAACTTTGTTTTTAAAAAGTAAATATTATCTAACGAGAAATGAGTCACCAAATTGATCGAATCCATATAAATTCGATGATTTTAACATCAATTTGACGATCCAATTGTCAATTCAAAGTTTAAGTAATGATTATTTCTTGTTGAATAATTAACAATTTATTCATAAATATAAAATAGACTGTATGTTTCTTAAAATTATATATATCAAAATAATGTGTATTAATTATATGAAATATATCATCTAAAAAATAAGTGAAAATTAAAAATTGTATTGTTTGAATACTCAAAAAATATTTGTACAGACGAGAAATTTAGCTTCCAAAATCATACAGAGATAGAAATACATGCGAAGTTCGTTCGTTTATTTTAAAACAGAATGTATTCATTGTATAAAATTGCTAATTAATTTCTTTATTTTCTATAAATAAAGCTTTTTTTTACATCAAATTTTTTTGTACAAATACTTTTTGCTCGCACTGTAGGTATTCTCATCCATCATCTTGATTCCACTTAATTGGCCTAGTTTACATCGAGGGTTCGATTCGAGTCAGAATGCAAGAACCAACCAACTGCAGTCGAACATTCTCCTACTACAGTCAAATGACAAAGGAATTTATAGTTCTTATTTCAAGATTGTCTTAAGTAAAGATGGTTTTTCATGCTCAACGCTCATTTTTGACATCAAAATAAATCACGTGAAGTTTTTTGATTGCAATGCTGGTGTACTTCGCGTTTTATTATCGATTTCTCGGTGCATTTCATATTAGGAACACAACCTACACAACACATGGACGTCCTTTTGGACGTCCGCTGTATGTCCTCAGATGTCCTGTATGTCCTAATGTCTTGAATGTCCGAAGACCGTCTGAGGGCGTTCTGCCTTTTTTTTTAGCATAGCTGCAGTAGGACATCTATAAGATATCCAAAAGACATACTTGAGACTGAATTACAAAATTCAATATTATATATGTTTAATATAATATTTCTGATATACATCATAAACATTTATTTGAAATTCGAGTTTTGATATGTTGTATTCTTTACATTAAATAAGACATTTTAAAGATGCTTGTGGACATCTATTAAATGTCTGTTATATGTCCCTGGAATGTCTGCTATATTCCATATAAGCGTTGAATATTATTATTATAATCATTAATATCATTGTTATTATTATTATTATTATTATTATTAT